TTAAGCTTCTGGGTCATTCTGTTTTATTTAGTATGTCTTAGTATTTCCAATACCATTAACATTTTATTCTTCCATCTACTGTTTGTAAGCTATAAAGATTAAAGAGTTTGGAAAGGCTTATTTAGATCACAACAAACTAGCAGTTGCTGAAACTGATTTTTTTATGTGAAATGCCAGTACAAAACAAAATTACCTCATAGCCAGCCCATAAATCAGAATCAATAACTACTAACATGGGAAAAATAAGGCCCCATAACCTATTTTGATATTTGAAATTAAAAGTCTATGGTTTGGTTTGTGCCATTCAGGATATGATGTTCTAAGTAGAAGCCTTTTTTGATCTAGGTAATCGCTAATCAATGTCTCTTTGGCTTCAGACCCTTAAACTCTCTGCTCCTCTTGCAACTGGTCTTATTTTGGTCTCATGCTGCCCGGGCGGTCAGGCATCAAATGTTGCAACATATATATCTAAAGGGAATGTAGCACTTTCTGTTCTAATGACTACGTAAGCTCAAATTCTATATTACTTTAATCATTGTGTTGGCATTAAATCAAAACTAAGCAATTGGAACCTGTTTTCTATTCCTTTTTTATTTCTATTTTTTTTTTCTCAAACTGGAGCTCTGAACCACCATGTTTTATGGTAAACTATAGATCTTTGACACATTTCATTTGTTTCTTTATGGAATTTCCATTATTGCATATGTTCCATTCATTGTTCACACATTTTCTTGGTAGAGAGAAAGTAGGGTTACCAAGAAACTATCTCTGGCGTTTGATCCATGGATGCTTATTGACAAGTCAACTTTATACACTATGCCTTTTATTGATGTTGAACACCAAAATTGGAAACGCAAAAAAATGGCATAACTGAAACTGAGGAGAAATTATTACAAAATTTTGGTTCATGCTTTTGTATTTTAATATACACTAAAATCTAAGAGAATGGGATGATATGTACTTTTCATATGTTGCATTCAAGAACAATATGACATATGTTTTGGTGAATATAAAACATTAAAACTCTTAGAAACATTATGAGTTGCAATTAACAACTGACATAATGAGTACATACATGTGCATAATTTATAATTGAAATTATGATTGTGTGTTTTTCCATTGTTGCAGAACACAACATTAAGCAACCCTTAGTTTCATACTTTTCTCTGGAATTTCTCTAGGTGTTCTACTATTGGAGCCATAGTTATGACTCCACTCCTTACAAAGCTTCTTGCTGGTCAGCTTGTTCCTGTTGATGCTGCTGTAAGTTTGTTTGTGTTTGATGGTTGCTTTAGCAAATAACCCTTAAATACGTGAAGGATGAAACTGATAATGTTGAAGTAATCAATGTAATCAATTCACTATTTGCAGGGCCTGGCTATCAGTACTTTTCAGGTTGTTTTGGTACCAACCATTGTTGGAGGTAACCAAAAGAATTTAACGTTTTATCTGCTACAGATGATTGCTGTATGATAATCAGAAAGCACCCTTTACCTTGAAACATACTTATAGAACTACAATTGTTGTTTTGTGGCAGTGTTGGCCAATGAATTCTTTCCCAAGTTCACTTCAAAAATTGTCACAGTTACACCTTTAATTGGAGTTATTCTCACCACGCTACTTTGTGCAAGCCCTGTAAGTTCTTTGAATAACAGTGACCCATGTTTGTTATGTTAAAACATTACTCCTTATATTTCAAAACTTTGTTAGTTGCTAGACATGTGAACAAAACTGACTTTTAATCTTTTTAATCTAAGATTGGCCAAGTGTCAGAAGTCTTGAAAACTCAAGGAGCACAACTAATATTGCCTGTGGCTATCTTACATGGTGCGGCATTTGCCCTAGGTTATTGGGTTTCAAGAATTTCATTTGGTGAATCCACTTCTCGTACCATATCTATAGAATGTGGAATGCAGGTAAGCACTTTCTACTAGTTTCCTCCTCAAGTATTTCCATACCGTATTTATTAAACTCTTTATCAAGCTAAAACAATCCATACGATTTGTTGCCAAATTAGTCTATTCTGCATGTCATGACGCTGATGCCAGCTGAAAGAATTAACAAATCTTATGTGAATCATCAGCTGTTAAAGGAGTAAACTGTTTCATGTTTAATCTACAGAGCTCTGCCCTTGGGTTCTTACTTGCCCAGAAACATTTTACAAATCCCCTTGTAGCTGTTCCTTCTGCTGTTAGCGTTGTTTGTATGGCGGTGAGTGTCCTTTTGCAATCAAATTCTCTCGTCTTGATTTTCCTCTTGGTACATGTTGGACACAAGGATGACTTGAATTCACCATGTTTTATACCATTTTGCCTTCAGCTTGGTGGGAGTGCTCTTGCTGTATTTTGGAGAAACCGGGCTGTTCCTCTGGATGACAAGGATGACTTCAAGGAATGAGCGGTTTTTTGCCTTCAATATATTTATGTATAACCATCCTGGAAAATTTTCATTTGCTTTTGGGTTATGTGCCTTTAGACATTGCATGTTCTTGTATCGAAGGGAGTAAAAACTTAAATCCAGGTAGTTTTTTCAATTTTTTTCTGAATGATTATCATATGCAGTTTCATGTTCTACCTTCTGTTTTTCTTTGTTTGATTTCAATGGAATAGGCAATAGGGGTTGAAACTCAAAAGCAGAAATGAGCTAAGCCAAGCCCGGATATTACCATGTGTATGTTCAATTGCGCATTTATAAAATGAAATTTCAATATACATTAGTTAAGTTTCAGATTGGCTAACAGGGGTAATTTCTTTTTAATAAAAATAAAAAATTTTAAATTTGAAATATATAATATGTAAATATAATGAATTAAGAAATAAAAGAAATAAAAAATAAATGTTATATGCACTCGAACTTGTCAGTGTCAGATTGGCTAACAGGGGTAATTTCTTTTTAATAAAAATAAAAAATTTTAAATTTGAATTATATAATATGTAAATATAATGAATTAAGAAATAAAAGAAATAAAAAATAAATGTTATATGCACTCGAACTTGTCAGTGAAAGCACTCCTCTCCTCATTTTTTTTTTTTTTTTTTAAATAAAAAAAATTTATACTCAAACCAACGAAGACCTAAGTGTTATCTGCACTCAGAGATTCATTTTTCAGTTAATAAACTCATTTATGGAAATAAAGCTGATTTTCCTTTGAGTTGAATTTAGTGACACAAGCCCGACTTGTTTTATTTTATTTTTTTATTAATTTTTTGATATTTGATAATCATATTAAATTTAATTAATTTGAAATCAAGTTGTGTTAAATCTTATTAAGAGGAAGTTCTTATAATGTCTGTTTTTTCATTTACAAAACTTAAACTCAAAATTTTGTTTTAAAAAAATTAAATTCTTCTATTTGAACCAACAGATTGTTGGTGCCCGGCTTGTTTTATACATTCAATTGTTGTAGCCTTCTAATAGGAGGCTTAGCTCCTTTAGTACTCGAAGAAGCAATGGCCGAATAACTTAGGGAACAGCTCGGCTTGTCTACGAATTGAATTAGCCGGAGTAGAGGGTGGTCTGAACCAACCGGCCCCCTAGAAACAGATTTTAGGTAAAAGTTTATTCTTAACCCTTTATCTTAATAATTTTATATGTTTTAACACCTCATCTTATATTCTAACATGTTTAACCAATTACATATATGAATTTAAGAAAATAATCTTTACTTAATGTCAAGTTATAACATTTTGTTAGTTCCGTTAGTTGATTGTTAGCATTCCGTTAACAAAATTAACAAATAAAATTAAATTTAAATTTCATGTTTTCCATAATAAAATGTTAACAATCAGTTAATATAACTAACAATTAGTTAAGATATTTAACAGTTAATTAACAGAATTAACAATCAATTAATAAAATTAACAGTCAATTAATAGGATATTAAATAAAAATTATTTTTTTTAATTCGTATAAATAAGGGGTTAAAAATATTATAATATAAAATGATTGACTCAAACTTATAAATTTATTAAGGTAAAAAACTAAAAATAAATATTTCCCCAGATTTTACAGCGATATGCCACCACTGATCACTGCAGCAGTACTGCTGCTTCAGTTTTGTCTGTTGAGAAAACTCCAAATCTCCAGTTGAAAAGCTGATTCTTTCCAAAATTTGACCAATAATAATATTCCTGAGAATAATTCACGAAGAACACGACAGGAGGGATTTAAATTGCTAGTAATTTCAACCCCATCATTGTAAAGGACTTGAATGTCGAGACTTTGAACTCGTGAATCATGAATCTCATGTTATTACTATTTTTTTTTTTTTGAGTTAGTTTATCCTTAAAGTATAGATTAAAAATATAAT